TCAAAAGAGCCCCGCCCTAACACCAGAACCCCTGACCCTGGGGCCAAGAATTTCACAATTTTGGTAGAGGCACTCTTGCTCATCATAATTATTTACTGAATTAGTGTATTTTATACCTAGGAGCAGAGAAGAAGATTTTCAAAGATTTAATGCATTTTCAATATATAATCAATACAGAGCCCCGCCCTAACACCAGAACCCCTGACCCTGGGGCCATGAATTTCACAATTTTGGTAGAGGCACTCTTGCTCATCATAATTATTTACTGAATTAGTGTATTTTATACCTAGGAGCAGAGAAGAAGATTTTCAAAGAAATAATGCATTTTCACAATATAATCAATAGAGCCCCGCCCTAAAACCAGAACCCCTGACCCTGGGGCCATAAAATTCAACAATTTGGTAGAGCCACTCTTGCTCATCATAACTATGAACTTAATTTGTTTATTTAGTACCCAGGAGCAGAGAAGAAGATTTTCAGTGACTTACTGCATTTCACTATATAATCAATAGAGCCCCGCCCTAACACCAGAACCCCTGACCCTGGGGCCATGAATTTCACAATTTTGGTAGAGGACTCAATGCTAATTACAATCACACCAACAGTTTGACTGCTTGATGTCAGGGAGTAAAGAAGATTTTTAAAGATTGCACTATTTTTAGTGGTTTTTGCCCCACCCCCCAGGCCCCAGGGGGGCGTGGACCACGAAATTCACAATTTTTGTTCCCCTTCACCCATGGATGCTATATGCCAAATTTGGTTGAAATTGGTTCAGTGGTTTCAGAGAAGAAGCTGATATGTTTAAATGTTAACGCACGACGCACAACGCACGACGGACGACGACGGACAAAAACAGACAGCAATAGGTCATCTGAGTTTACTCAGGTGACCTAAAAAATGCACTTTCATTATATATCCAATAAAGAGCCCCGCCCTAACACCACAACCCCTGACCGTGGGGTCAAAAAATTCACAATTTTGAAAAAGGCACTCTTGCTCATCATAACTACATGTATGTGCTTAGTAAGTTTATCTAATACCCAGAAGTAGAGAAGAAGATTTTCAAAGAAAACATGCATTTTCACTATATAATCTATATAGCCCCGCCCTAGCACTAGAACCCCTGACCCTGGGGCCATGAATTTCACAATTTAAGTAGAGGACTCAATGTTCAATACATTCATAACAACAGTTTGCCTGCTTGATGTCCAGGAGTAAAGAAGATTTTTAAAGATTGCAATAATTTAAGTGGTTTTGCCACACACCCCAGGCCCCAGGGGGGCAGGGACCATGACATTCACAATTTTTGTTCCCCTTCACCCATGGATGCTGTATACCAAATTTGGTTGAAATTGGTTAAGTGGTTTTAGAGAAGAAACTGAAAATGTTCAAATTTAACACACGACGACGGACGAAAACGGATAGCAATAGGTCACCTGAGTTTCTCAGGTGACCTAAAAATACAGAGACGAGTCATCAAAGCCTTAGTTTTGAATCATCACACATACGTGTTTAAATCCCCTGACAAGAGGAACATCAAGTATAGTGTTAAAAAAGTTCCCGGTGACATTGATATGGCATGAACATGGTTAGTGGATGGTCTCGTGGAACTGGGAGCTTTGTTTCCAAAAACACTTATATACTGTAAGTCCATTAGTAATGTAGCGAAGATCTATGACTACATAAATGATGAGGTGTCCAAAGAATTTGAGTCATTCATTGGTATGTTTCACTCTGAGACGGAGAGTTCTATAAAGGAAAGAATATTGTTATCTATCAGGGATGAGCAGAGCCTACTGAGGATCATCATATCCACAAATGCAATGGGTATGGGAGTGGACTTTAAGGGTCTGTCTAACATTGTTTTATATGGCCCACCTTGTTCAATGTTCGATCTCGTTCAAGAAATTGGGCGTGCAGGGAGGGGGGGGGTGAGAAGTCTATAGCCGTACTTATGTACAACTCTCATCACCTGCAACAGTGTGACTCTGACGTGAAGAGACTTTTTAAAGAGAACACATGCAGAAGAATTCTGATGATGGAACCATTTCTCAGAGAGAATGATCTGGATGATCTCAAATCCAGCACTGGAGACTGTACCTGCTGTGATATTTGCCAAGAAAGCTGTTCGTGTGGAAGTTGTGCTCATCTGCCATTTGAAAAACTGTGTGTGGGAAATACAGATTCAGGACACGATACTGAAGACTCAGACAGTACTGAAGATCTCTCTGATTTTGATTTTGATGATTTGAATTTAATTCCTTGATCAAGCACCGGGTTTCAATAACTTTTACCATCTCTGAGACCTATGAGATGCTAATGATTTCCTCTGAGATCTTTAGCTAATAAACATTTGTGTACTTTTGATTTGCCTTTGCTGTGAATTTTATAATCAAACTTTATAAAATTTCAACAATCTTCTTAATCTGAACGTTGTTTGTTATACTTTTTAGCAGAAACTTAAAATGTACAAATTCGAAAATATCAATATTACATGTACAATGTATACTGTGAAAAATTGGCTTATGGAAACAAACCAGGTGAAAATGATTTTCAGTATACCTGCCGGGGGGGGGGGGGGGGGTTAATACTGTATACAGTAATAAATACGTAGAAGTCATGCATCATTAAATGTATCACAATTTATCTAGTTTCAGATGGTATAACTTTAACAGTCTGTCACCAAATAAATACAAAATCATATTTGCATACAGAGAATTTTACAACTCTAAACTTCTTATGAGTGAATAAATGGTAGTTCACACTTTCTTAAATTATTAGAACTTCCACAGAAAATATACATTGTGAAATATATATAACTTTAAATTATAGCATACATGCACGTCTCTTAAACTTTTGAAAATTGCACTTTTGGATATGCACAACATGTACAATGAAGACTGCTTGTAAAAGAAATGGACATGTATAGCAAAGTGTTAATTTTATTCAAAAAGGAAATTATACCTGATGAATAAATATCATGAAAAGCATTCAAATATTAACATTTAAAATGTCCATTGAATATTGAAATCAGATTTTAAAATCGACAATCTCTAAGTCGCCCAAATGGTGACGATGGTTTATGCCGGTGAAGCAATGTTGACAGGTCTCGTGAACAGTTCAAAAACGGATTTCTATCTAATCCAGGCAGCTTCTTGCTTAACTTCCTATTTACATCTCGAATTAGAAAGTTATGGTCTAACAAATCTTTGACAACCTTCTGAACATCTAAAAGGTAAGATGGATGGTGAAGAAATCCTTTTCTGTTTCCAAACTCACTTGCCTGCTCAAACTGGTTTGTAAGCTGGATAAGTAATGGATACTCCTTTGAATGCCTTAAAATGCTTTCCTTGGTCTGATGGCCTGTGCATGCAGCCTTACTGTCACGATTTAGCATTTCAATATACTCGTCTAGTGAAATGTTGTTATTCTTTCCTCCCTGAAGATTTACATATCTGTTAACTATGAAACGCTCTTCTTGGTCTGGAGTCAAAAGTCCTGATGCCATTGCTGTAGTATGTATAGAGGAGATGGAATATTTAATCTTCTGGGTTTTATGGTAAAGTGGAAGCTCGTACTTAGCAGAACGGACACATCGACCACCATCCCCCATATCAACGCCATCATCAAAATTTTTATGAAGCATGACCAGCTTGAATAGCATCAAAACATAGTCTTGAACCTCATCACTCTGTACATGTTTTCCTCTTTTCATTCTGCTCAATGAAACACCATGTTTTTCTGACTCAAGGGCCTTTAGAGAGCTCTTTAGAGAACTCTTTTGTAATCCTTATCACAGTGATGACACTTAAAGCGTCCATTGTTAAATGTTGCTGTCCAGTAGGTTTTTTTTGTGCATCCTGTAAATCATTTCTTATTTCCTCCATCACATCTTCTTTGTCATCAAAGAACCATTTTACAATAATCTCTTCACACAAGTCATTCAGCCACTGAATCTTATCACAAGATGACAATTCTGAAAGGTTTGGTAGAGATATATTGGCTATATCTACAGACCCCATCTTGTCTAGGAACAGATCAACACAAATAGCATCGAGAACTGTGTAATATAGCATCTTATATGCTCTATATGCATTCTTAACTTTTCCCTTTGCACTTCTATGCCCTAGTAGGTTTCTGTTATAATGCATTGTACATGGTTCCCCTGCTAGGTCAGAACTGTAGGTTAACTTGAAAATTGCCTGAAAAATATACAATAATTTATCATATCCATGATCAACCTTGAAGTATTTTTTTTCATGGATCTGCCCATGTTGGTTACTGTTTTAGTTACATTTGTACATTTACGAATCTGACAGGATTTTATGAAATGCCACTTACTTCAAGAAAATTCATCAGTTAATGAAAATCTTCACTTTTGGAGATGAATCCCTCTAATCTACCTTTCGACGTTAATGAATCTTTGAGGGCAACTTGTGCACAATGAACTCTCTCGTCAGTTAGACGGTCACCTTAAAGAAAATTTTTTATAGAGGCTTGAATTTATTAAGTTTCCACGAGAATCATTTTTTTTTATCATTTCCTTTTCATATCAGTTTTGATGGTGTTTACCACTGATGTTTTTATTTGTGAATAAACTTTGTTTATGACAAATATTGTAATGCTACATTCCATTATCTTTAAGATGTTAAGTTACATTAATTGTGGCTAACATAACCTAAAAAAAAAAAATTGCATCAACAACTTCTGCATTTTCAGTTGGGACATACTGATCAGTAAGAAATTTAAGAAGGCGAATCATTTCATCCGTTTTATTTTCATTGGTATCAAAAAGTCCAAGAGAATACTACAAAATAATGACAAAAATCTAATTATTGTAATTGAAAAAGAATGATCCATTGGCAATTCAGTTACCATATAAAGTACGCTTCTTTAAAATATCCATGTTTAAAAGCTAGTACCTGTGTTGTTTTTATCCCAGCACAATGGCTATGTTTGTGCTCTAAATGTTTTTGATATATTGCGTTGAAGCACTTCGCAACTTTAGGAACATTTCTGATGATGGCCGATGTAAAGATGAATTTCAGCTCTTTTAGGAGTAGCTTTTGCTCTGAGATAGAAGGGATGTAAGTGAGATTGTCTTGGAATCCGTTTGACCCAAGTGGATTTCTGGGAGTGTATCGGTCAACAATACCATAGACTTGAAATAAATGAAGACTCTGGGTTTTTCTCTCTGTTGTGCGATAGGAGGGAAGAATCTCCTTGTCCCAATTGTCACCTACGTATTGATACTTAGCTAAAGGTTCTTCTTTCTTTTTCCATTTCATCTACTTTCAGAAAAGCAAAATTTTCATTCCACATTACAAACAAGAGGTCCATGAGCCACATCACTCACCTGAGTCACTATGGCCCTACTGTTCTTCAGCAGCATATTTTTTCCCTATATATTTCTATGTAAAACTTTGATCTCCTATTGTGGCCCCACCCTACCCCTAAGGTTTTTGATTTGAACAAACTTGTAATGAAGCGCAGGGGTGATAAGGAAGCATATTAAATATTCTACCTTGACTAGATCAGTGCTATATCATGACGTCATAGTAGGCGAGATGACGTCAATTTTAGAACACAAGTTTTCGTAATATTGATATTTAGAGATGTAATTTAACTCTAGATGAATGAAGAGAAACTTGTTAACATTCACAAAAATAAAATGTTTTTATTTTGTTATGATGTATCTGTCATCTTGATTAAAATCTACCACTGATGACGTCATATGTGTACATCAAGTAACTTGGGAATCGAAAATGTCGTGTAAAGAGAATTTGGCTAAGACGACATGTACAAGGATACGTAAAATGGAGTTTAAAAGGAAATATAGTGAATATTTTGTGAAATTCATATGGAGTTCAGTTAAATAAACAGGTATACTAATTTATTTTCATTGATTACATTCTCTTCCTAAGAGAGTCAGCTATATACGTATCCCGGTCGGCCTTTCCTCTGTCGTTCGTGACAAAAATAATGCAACAGAACAACAATAAGCTGGATATTTCAAAAAATAAGATTGGTATAGATGGAATGTTTGCCTTATAACACACATGGAAAGTGCTGCTAGAATCCCGAGTGAAGCAGGGTTTTATGAAAAATCTCGATTCATATGCATAAAATTCAAAACGTAGGGTAAGGTTTAGTGAAAATATGTGGAATAATTATTTTACTGACAGGACTTTGGACTTCTAGCAGCACTTTCTCAGCAAAATAGATGTTTTTCAACAATATTATTTTCTCAAAGAAATTATTAAACTCCGGGGTATTGTTGTTCTGTTAGCTTTTTTATTAAGGAAAATTTCGCTATAAATAGAAATCACGTGATGCCATGGTGGTGGTGCACGTCTTTGCGTTAGACACTCTTTTATCTGTATGCATTAGTTAATAACAGTTTACATTTATCAGCGATTTTGGTAATTCATCAAACTTAATTTTCTTTATAAAGTCTAAATTTTCCGAGAAATGACATATATGCTTCCTTAACATGCCCGCGAGCTTTCACATAAATTTCAACTCTTCTGGTCCAGTGGTTCTTGAGAAGATTTTTCAAGATTTCTTCCTACATATTCCTATGAACGCCCACTGTGGCCCCACCCTACCCCTGTGGGTCATGATTTGAGCAAACTTGAATCTACACTACCTGAGGATGCTTCCACAAAAGTTTCATATTTTCTAGCTCAGTGGTTCTTGAGAAGAAGATTTTTAAAAGATGCCATTAATGTTTCACTAATTCTTAATTATCTCCCCTTGGAAGAGGGTGTGACCTTTCATTTGAACAATTTGAATCCCCTTCACCCAAGGATGCTTTGTGGCAAGTTTGGTTGAAATTGGCCCAGTGGTTCTGGAGAAGAAGTCGAAAATGTTAAAAGTTTACAGATGAACAAAATGTGATCAGAAAAGATCACTTGAGCCTTCCGCTCAGGTGAGCTAAAAACAATAGCAATAGTAATAAAGCTTACTAAAAACAATAACTCAGAGAATCTCAATATACATGTACAGTATACCCTTTTGCTTAAGCTTATGTGTCACATAAGTTTCACGAGGGAAACATTTTGTGTTTCACTTATAAACAAACATGTTTCTTAAACTGAGTGTTAACAGTTTAAACTTGAGTTAAACACTTATATGTATGTAAATCATATGTTTAATTTTCTAATTTTTGGTATATAAAAAAATATAATTATATTTACCTTTTAAGACTGAGTGTGAATTACCTTTAGGACTTTAAGTTCTTCATCTAACTTGTCCTTCCAGCTAGTAAGTTTGTTTTGGAGTGTTTGTGAGTGAACACATAATCCAGTCTTGCAAAGTATTTCAATGGTCTGACATGAAAAAAAAATGGATGCATATTAAGATAAATTTCATTTAATTTCATAATAATCATTAAATATACTATATAAAATCTAGTTTTCAATACAATAACATAATTATGGTTCTTCAAAGTACACAGGGCATTCAAATTTGAAAGAATTCTAATTTACATGTATTTCTTTCAACTTTAAAAATTCATGCATTAATATCTAAATATAATATGGTGATACTTACCCTTAAAGTACATCCACCACCAGCAAGGAGAAATGCTAATATATATTGAGAGGCAGACATTTCTTGACTCCTGCCATGCAACAGTAAAGCACTGGCAAACATGATATGAAAGAAAGATTTGCTGAAACTAACTGGTGGCGTGTTTTGTACAGTTGATGAAATAACTGACAAAGTATGAGGACATCTTTCCTGGAGATCTTCGTGAAAAGTATCCCATTTAAAGCTTAAGAAATGTTCAACGTCTTTACTTTGGAGACATGCAACAGAACCTCGATGACATGCCTTACTACATTCCTCTTCAACAACTTTGGAAATCCCCTTCACCAAAGCATTTGGATTTGTCTGACGAAGTGTATTAACAATAGACATGTCCACTCCACCTTTATTGTCAACCATGGCCTTGAAAATCACTTTGTGTGAATCAGAGGTGACTAGAACAGATTTCCTTCCACTGGGATAATTGATCGACACCTATAGAAAAATGTACATAGTATTAAAGGCATAACTTATATATCACTTCATTAAGACATATGAAAGGATTACTGGCTTTAGTTGTATTTTTTTTCTTTTTTAATCGGAAATCAGTATTTACACAAATTAAACTCAGTTTCTTTAATATTCAATATCAGATAATTTTTTGTACTTTCATATTTTGTGTTTTCATAATGCTTGGCATTGACAAGTTTTTTAGCTGAAATTCCTGTAATAAAAATATCTTAGGTTATAAAATAAGATCATCATACCTTTTATTTAGTAATTGTTGGAAAAATCATAAATAGAAGAACAGTCAACATTTAACTTCAATCAGGTATATTTTTCTAATAAAGTGCCACGCCACAGCATGATACGCCCGTCAAAAAATTACAATTATCTAAAACAATCAAAAGTGCAAGAAAATCATGTCAACCTTGATTTTAGATTTCCATGATTTTTAAACTCCTTAAAAAATTTGTTTATCCATCTCCTGTGGTGTAGGCATTAATTATAACATATACATGTATTGCATCATTCATAGATTTCTATACTGGTTGTGTTAGACCTTGCCAAATGCCTATCATATTAAACAATATCAAATTAGGCTTAACAACTTAATCTATACCTAATTAATTTTGAAAATGAAAGGCTGGCCATCAAATATAAAATGACCAAAAGTTCTTCGGTCTAATTCCCAAAGGATACACTGTCAGTTAAGATAATGATCTGAAGAAATAATTGAGACAGCTGATCTGAAGAAATAATTGAGACAGCTATAGCCTTGCTACATTGAACACATTAATTAATCTTTAACTGGATGCTTGTCTTCTCATTACTCCCAAGAGATTATTGGATCTGCACTATCTACCATAAAGCATTTTTAAAACATATAAAACCTTAATGATTTTTTTTTTTAGATTTAATGGCACACAGGTTTTAAAATGCAATTCATATGGACATGCTGATTCCACAGCACCCCCATAAAATTAGTTTTTTAAAGTTCATAATTTTATGTAATATCAAAACAGTTTATTAAGCAAAATCAAATTAGTTTTATTTACTTCTCATCAAATTCATTTTAAAATTTATACTAGCCAACAAGAGCTATTTTTAATCCAACAGGATTACCCATTTGGCCCAATACTCAAGGGATATAGATAGCACCGATGCTCTTCCTCACACTAAACTCATAAATTTCTCTCTCTAATTTGACATGCAATTTTCTGTTATCAAAATTCTTCTTGACCAGTGCTTGATAATTAAACTCATGGGAGTGGTGGAATTTCTTTAACATACATTACATTTGTAATTTCAAGTATATGCTAAAAAAAATAAGTATTTTTCTTGATTTAACATTTTTCTAATAAGGATAGTGCAATACTTTTACATTTTTTGGAGTGTGTAAATGAAGAGAAAAAAAAGACATTTTTTTTTTTATTTCACTTAAATTAAAGGTCACAGTGACCTTGAAATAGGTCCCGACACACCCTCTACCTAAGATGCATGAAGTGGCCAAGTTTGATGATTCTAAGTCTAATAGTTTTCAAGTTATGGACCGGACAGGATTTTTCCATATTTGGCTATAACTTTTTAATTATAGGTCAGAGCGACCTACTTTTTGTGCGCGACACACCTTCTACCCAAGATGTATCAGCTGACAAAGTTTGATAACTCTAGGCCTTATAGTATTCAAGTTATGAGCCGGACACGAGAAAAGCTAACAGACGGACGGACGGACATGAAGCCTATAACATAATACGTCCCGTCTTAAGACGGGCGTATAAAAACAAGAACAGAAATTAACAAACAAATCGAACAAACTTGTAACTCGAAATATGAAACCAAAGCACTTAAAGGTATAAAATATATTAGTAAAAGTGTAATTCAAAATAAACATCAATAAAATGTAACAATTAGTTCCTTCATTAAAAGATCTAAAATGCAG